GAAGTCTGTAAAATGCCTGCAAAAGACGTCTAACAGGTAAAGGTTATATGTTCTTTGTATTTTGCACTCACCCATATTGACATGTTTGCCCAGTGACTGCATCTCATAAACCCCAGAAGGGCTAAATTACTTTCAAGAGCAGGTTTTAAATTCAGAGGCAGAACTGGTGTTCTCTGCTTTCTGTGAATAAACGTTGAAATTGAATTATAGAATGAGGCCAAGCATCTTTTCTCTGTGGTCACACCTTAAACCAGGCATCCCGCTCACATTTCCACACCCGTATGCAAAAAAATAAAAAATAAAAATACTGTCACCTTATCAGGAGCATCTAAAACACAAAGTGAAACACAAAAATGACCTCAAGTTACATGAAATATAGTGGCAGAAAACAGCACTGAAATCTGGTCACATGCTTCTAGTTTCACAGGTGAAAACACAGATTATTAAGCAGAGAAAGCCGAGGATGTTTGTGACTGCGTAGAAGGACCAGCTGCTACATGAGCGCCAAATGACTGCAGTCTCAGGTAAGGTTGTCATTTCTGTACTACAGCATTACATAACATAAGAAGTTTGCTGCTGTGTTGTGCTTAGAGCATTGCAATTTAACTGTCAGCCAGTTGTTGACTGCAAACCCTGCATGAAGAGAACAGTAGCACTGTTTCTATAATGGTGCAACAAAACATTCAATTTCTGGGAAACGCCCAAAGATAAGCAACGCCTACATTTTATAAGATACTCAACCTGCCGCTAGGGTCCATAAGAATAACATTTTAAACTTTAAAGCTAAGCTCATTTTCACAGTCTGAAGAAAACACCTCCACTAACTCAAGACCTTTTCATGAGACTGGCTTAAAAATTATCTCACTGAATCCAAAATATTTTAATAAACTACAAACCAGCAATGCTCCAAGACTGCAATAATTCAATCTTTTCCTCCTTCCTCTCTCATCTGCCTCTCATCTTCATCGTCTTTGGTTGATGTCATCGGTGTCTGGTTTGGGAACCCAGAGCGTCTTACAATATTAATATTGTAGTTAATGATGATATATTTGTTATATATAAAGTGTAGGACTCAAAAAAAAAAAAAAAAAAAGTTAAGCACCCAGAGAAAATGTGCTGCATTTACATATTTATTTGACATTTACTTCTCTGTGTGCTTTACAATATTCGCCCCATATTTACAAAGACCACATGAGCCACAAGCACAACGTCACAGAGGAAAGGATTCTGGTTAGGATCCACGCAGGTCTGATTACAACCACATACACTTATTTTGTAAAACTTGTAAGTGACAGACTCAGTTTCCTCCCCTACCACCCAAACTAAATTTCTGTGCTCCATTTACAACGTCCACTGTCACAATCTGCTCCCATTAAGCGTAATTGCACTTTTCAAAGGTTAAGTTTCAACCACCATGGCAAACGCTTTATCCTGATGTGGAAACAGTTAGCATGTAATGATCGGCAGCAAGGACACAGAATGGTTTATAGACTTGAAAGGAATATCCATTCAGCAAATGACTCACTTTGTAGCTACTAACCTCTGACTGAAACACTAGATCACTCTGTAGGAAAATAATCTGGATCAGCTTTCTCACCCACTCAGAGAAACTCTCTCCGTGCACACAGACAATTTCTCTGAGCATTACTAAATATTACCCAAGCAGACCAAAGAAATCAGCAGGACTCTACTCTGACAGGGAGGCTCCATGTGAAATGAGAAGTTTGTGTAATTGTCAAAAACAGAGAGTTTGTACATGTTTTTATGTTATTTTACCAGAACATTTCAGCCCATATTTAGAAGAATGAATAATAAATACAGTAGAATATAAATACAAAACTTCTCTATGAATTTATGAAAGATATAATTAGGTCAGGTTTTAAATATTCATCCTACAGACAAACATTAAAACCCTACCGATCAGGACTGACAAATGGATGGACGGACAAATGGACAAATGGATGAACAGACTAAAACGAGATGGTAAAGGACAGATGGACGGATGGATTCTTTATTCTCAAAAGAGACGACAGTTTCACACTCTGTCTTCAAAGGAGGCCACACAGCTGTCCATCACCTCCCCGAGCCAAACTGACCCAAAGTGTGACATTCCACCACCGAGGCCACATTAAAGAGTTTATATTGCATCTACTGCCCTTTTCAGGCATACATGTGCATAGCTGGTGTCAAAAATGGGGTCAGAAACCACTGAGTGCAAAGGGTGGAGTACATTAATGAAACTGTCTGGGTGGATGGCTAGCTTATCAATCATTCTGCTACCTTATCACCTTCAGCACAGTCACAAAGCTTCCCGTCACTCTCTTATCAGGCTAATCCTGCTAACTCGAGCACAGAGTCTGTGAGCGCAGCGGGAATAAATGAGTTTACTCCTACTCTGATTGGATTAAGAGCAAGACCCTTTGACTGCGACGGCTGAAGGCGCCGGGCGCTCAGCTTTGATGAGCAAGTCGGCTTAAAAGGAAATAAATAAGTACAGGGAACGGCTTAATCTTTGACTTCAAATTTGGACATTAGATTGTGGGTTACTTTTGATATAATTCTGCTTTGATTAGCTTATGCAATGGAAATAAATCTTTCACAAATCCCAGACGTCAAAATGGAGTTTCTTTGACAGCCTAGTTAATAGAAATCCAGTCCACGAGTCTCTGGAGCCCTCTGTCTGCTCTCCGTCCCTGGGGAGCGAGGACATCATGACTGAGACTACATTAGGATAGCAGAAGCACTCAGAAAACCATTCCTGCAAACACAGACTATGAGCTCCAGGACAACCGCATATACATCCCTCTGCAGCTTTATAAATACAGAGATGGAAACAAAAATTTGTTTCTGCAGCGAGGAAGTCCCACATGAATACAGACACTTGGCTGTCACAAATTGACAGGCCTGCATTATAGAAGCTGTGACAGCAACACTTCAGTGGACTAAAGAGTCTCTCTGTGACAAAGAAACAAAACTGTAATGTGAGGAGAGCGAAAGGAAATGAAAACTTTAAAAAGGCTGCCACGCAGAGCAGTGACTAACCCAACGGAGTCAGTGAAGGTTTAAATAGGACACTAGGAGGATAAAATTATACCCCTCCTCAGACTTGGACTAAAAATCCATAATACTTTGACAACCTACTTAGTACTGAGTGAGATCACCAGCTAATAAAATCCCGGGGATTCCCAGAGCTTCTAGTGAAAATAGAAAAACTGAGGTAGTTCCTCACCGGTCCAGATACACTGAGGTCCAAATGCAGAATGAGGCGATGAGAGAATCTCATGGGAATGCTCAGAAAAACATGTCAAGGTTTCCCAGCGTCAGTGTATTTATACAAACGTTTAAAACAAAAATGTCTAACATGATCCAGGAGTTGTTGTTTTTTTTAAAGAGAAGAACTAATTATTGCTGCTGCTACTTAAATAAGACAATATTTTAATTAAAAATAATTAGACAATATTGGTGTACACCTAAGCAAAAATCTAGATTTAGTCTGATAAATTTAGTCAAAATTGTCAAGTAAACACTAGCAAATTAGACATTTTCCTCCATCTTCCTCCTTAAAGGGGTTTTCTCGTGTATTTATAAAGTAACATAGGCTAAAACTAAAACTAAATTGTTATTAAGGCAAATTTTCTGTTTGGGTACTTTTAAAACCGCCTAAATACCTCTAACATCTTTTTGGGGTTGCGTTATCTGTAACATTTTCCTTTAGACTGCCACAGTCTTCCTTGACAACTGGAAGTATTTTCAAGCAATTAAATTTGTCTTTCCCAAACATGCGAGGAAAATAGTCTAATACCCTTCCTCCAGCCAGCTGACGGACAGTGTGCAGCAGTGCTACAGTGTTCCTTTCTCCCACAGAAACCTCAGGCATCTTATTGAAAGAAATCTAAACTTTAACAGCAACGTTAAAGAACATTTTGGTCCTTTTGAAACAGTATCTTTTTAAAACCTGCACTTTGATACCGGTGTCCATCAAAACCCAATGGTTTGGGAATCCGGAGTCCGGGAGAACACCTTCAGATTCTTCAAACAATTTTTGAAGAGACTGTGGCTGTTTAGTAAAAGATTATAGTGGAAGTGTCAAAGTAGCATCCATGGTTAAAGGAAAAAGAACATTTGACATGCAAAAAAAGCAGTGGAAGTCACTTTTCAGTGGTTATAATTTATTTCTGATCAAAGTACATTTCTCCTTTTTACAGGATGTGGTGTAGCATTATGGCATCTATAATTTTCCGACACCTCGGAAAAGTATGATTTCAAAGGAAGTCAAAAGAACAAAAACATAACCGAATGTAAAAGGACCGTTAGAACATCCTCATTCTTTTACTTCCAAATGATTTCCCTGATTCACCTTTAACCTCAGATAGAGGCGGTAATAAACAGTTAAATGGAAGGGGTCACCAAGAGAGGAACAAGTTCTGCAAACACAATCACCTTCCTTCTCTATTGTGAGCCACAGTGAAGCTGCATCTACACACACACACACACACACACACACACACACACACACACACACACACACACACACACACACACACACACACACAACAGAGGCCATGTCCAAGACCTGCATGAGGTTGCAGGAAAACCCAGGATCTCCCAGCGGAACGGGGAAACACCCAGGGAGGGGAGAAAGCATCCAGCAGAGTCTGACATCATCCAAGTGCGGGCTTCCATGTTCATGTGTATGCATGTGTGTGCGCGCACACACACTTTCTCCCCATTCTACCTCTCACACTGACACACACTCACGCACAGATGTGTAGGTTTCCTCTTTGGCTCTGGACAGATATTCATTATTCTGAGTTTTTGCTGCAGTTCACACAGATAAGACCCCATAAAGCCAACCCAGCAACCTTCTACACGCAGAGTATGGAAATGTCAAACATCTATTGCAAAAGCATGGAAATATGACAGTCAAATGTGGCCGCTTAATCACTCCAACCACACATCGCACTGCAGATGCAAGGAAATGATCCAAAATCTTAACTCACATGCAGCCCCAGTGAAAAGCTCTGGTTGTGAAGTTGAAGGACAATAACGTGAAGCATTCAGTGTAAAGGCAGATTGCTTCAGTGAACGGGGCAGAGCCAGTGGGGTGTCGATGAGCTTCAGCAAGTGCTCCAACAAAAAAAACTGCAATGCCTCCTGTCAAAGCTCCACGTCCCGCTGAGGATTAGTAAAACCACACAACAGAGGGGTGTTGACTCATCTTCAGCCTCACCTTTTTTCCGAAAGGAGCCAAACCATGAGGACGCGAGGCAGCAGCGGAAAATCTTCAGGCTAGTTAGCACTACTTCCTTAGCAAACCCCCTCGCCAGCCAGCAGCCATCCAGCCAGCAGCGCTGCCTTCTCTCCGGTCCAGCCAGCCCGCCCGGTGCTTCCTCCCAACCCTACCCTTCCGTGCAGCCCTCTCCGCTCGGAGCGCTCAGTCGTCCTGGGACTTACCGGTCTTATGTGTTGTTGGTGCCGTTGTGAAGAAGAGACAACTACGGGGAGGCTGCCGGCCGCCGTTCCGCTGCTCCGGGACAACAGGAGTACCGATCTGCACACTTTCGCAGCCATCTCTGTAGTAGTAAAAAAAAAAAAAAAAAAAAAAAAAAAAAAAAAAAAAAAACCCCTACCCGGGAAGGGACTGGCGCGGGCGGGACGGGGACAAACAAAGGGAAGAGGGG